CATATTTATTGAAGGCCTTACTATATCAATTGAGGGGAGTAAGGTCTTATATAATATATCTATTGACGGTAACACATGATAATTGAAGGTCACATTTAATATAACATCTGAGGTTAGTGCATGCTTATTGAAGAATTCATGAAATATTTATTTTGAGAACAATAGTGCTGCTTGAAAGTTCAGCAGCCACTATCTTAGTGGCTTTATTGCCTTGCTTGGGGTAAAATGATTTTTTTTTAAAAAGTTGAAGTCTACAGGAAGAGAAAGAAAGAAAGATGCATAATCTAAGGAAAATGCTCAATATCCATGTTATATACCATACCTATGAACACAAATGGGTATATCCCAATCCTCATAAATATGTTGAACATTATTGTAAGTGGGGGTAATATGCTGTCTAAGTAGTCCACCACTAGAAGTGGTTTACCTACTTCACACTGCTGGTGAGTATTGTATTTTGTTGATGTTATAAAGATTACCATTTCATTTCCAACCTCCATTTTGGTTATTTCTCATTCAGTTATCTTTTCTAGGTTACAACAAGCCATATAGTAAAATTATTTAAGAATTACATTTATCATGAATAAAAATATTATTTTTATTTTTTAAAAACAGCAGGAACCCCCAATTGGTTATTGGGATCAGAATCAAGCATGTACATTGTTATTGTGAAAAAATTTAAAATAATCCTATTAAAAAATTTAAAATAATCCTACTAAAAAATTCCAAATAATCCTATTTAAAAATTTTAAAAAAATCCTATAAAAAATTTAAAATAATCCTATTTAAAAAATTTTTAAAATCCTATTCAAAAATCTAAAATAGTCATATTAAAAAATTTAAAAAAATCCTATTTAAAATAATCCTATTTAAAAATTTTTAAAAATCCTATTAAAAAATCTAAAATAATCCTATTAAAAAATTTAAAATAATCCTATAAAAAATTCCAAATAATTCTATTTAAAAATTTTTAAAAAATCCTATTAAAAAATTTAAAATAATCCTATTTAAAAAAATTTTTAAATCCTATTAAAAAATTTAAAAATCCTATTAAAATTTTTTTAAAAATCCTATTAAAAAATTTAAAATAATCTTATTAAAGAATTTAAAATAGTCCTATTAAATGTGTATCCAAACACAAATTTGTAAACTTTCCAAACAATACAAAAACAAAAAAAAAATACCAAGGATATATTTTAATTATTTACCAAAAAAATGGGATTTTTTCCACCAAAACCGAAAATTTGACAGGTACAAAAAACACCTTTTGAAGCAATTTCTTCAACAATTTCTCACATTTGTTCTTGGGGATTTTTGGCCACTCCTTGCAAAACTCAACCACTTTAAGAGTGGATGGAGGGACATGAGCTGCCAGTTTCAAGCTTAGCCCAATATTTCTATTGGATCGAAATCTGGACCTTGACTCAAAATCTTCTTTCTTTTAACCCATTCCTTGGTAGTTTTGGTGGTATGTTTCAGGTCATTGTTTCATTGCAGAACCTATTTTCAGCCAACTTTCAACTCTCCAGCTGACGACAGGAGATTCTGATCCAGACTTTATTGATAAGACTGAGAATACACGTTTCCATGAATAATATGGAGTGCTCAAAGTTCAGAGGCAGAAAAGCAGCCCTGGATTTTAAACATGAGCTCATTGTATGCTTATTAAAGGTCTCATCTATTGTAAGCTGTGTATGCTTGACTTTGCTTATCCAAATCAAGCAATAGCACCTATTTTTTTCAAGGAATTAGCAAACATTTATTTTTATGAGGAATGTTTGTCAAAATATCATATTTTCAGGTATCTAAATTTTAAAAAAATATTTTTTAGACACGAAGGAATTAATAGAATAATGAAAAAATGCAAAATAAATATTAATAGATGTTCACCAATAACTGAATGTTGCAACTTCATGCTTTGTATATGTTTTAAAATAATATTATATACAGTCTTATTTTGTACATGTCTATTTCTGCATGCACTGTGTGCACGTGATTGTGCATATATATATATATATATATATATATATATATTGTGTATATTTAGGCAGCAATTTTTCATTGATGCATGTTTCATTAAATAATATAGACAAATTTTGTCTATTTATTTTAAGTAAGTTCCTTTCATATTGTCTGATAAGTTTAATAACATTATCATTAAAAGACGAAAGGAAAACATATTGATACATGTTTAAATCCAATCTAAGCTTTGCATGAAAAATTTCAAAGCAACGACAAACTCATGTATACAAGACGCGGAAGCGGAAATCGTGTTGCAGCTCGTGACGTCACACATGACCACATGAGAGTGACAATGAGAAGTATTAAGTATGGGAAGTCATTGGTATAAACCAATGGCTTTTGTTACCAATTTAAGAATATTTGTGGAGATTTCATAATTTATTTTGTTCAGGTTAGGTTTCAACTGTTTTATGTATATAGCTTCAAGAATTTTTAGTTTTTGTTTATTGTTTTCATGTTTAAGTATAGTTGTGTTTTCAACAAGGATTTTCCGGAATATGGTGATTTCCTTTCGTCTTTCAATGATAATGTTATTAAGCTTATCAGACAATATGAAAAAAACTTACTTAAAATAAACAGACAAAACTTTTCTATATTATTTAATGAAACATGCATCAATATATATATATATATATATATATAAATGAATGAGTGGAAAGAGCTTTTGTGTAATGTGTTTTGACCCTTAGGACTTCATCGGGCTAGTTTGATGAAGTCCTAAGGGACAAAACATGACACATGAAGACTTTTTCCACTTTGTCATACATCTTTCCTCCAAAACTGTTTTTGATATATAAAAATTTATATATTGCTTTTCCTATATATATATATATATATATATATATATATTATTTCAAATGCTATAATAAAAATGGATACTGATATTTGAAATAATAATGTTTAAAGTATTAAAAAATAAATCCATTTATTGTTTAGAAATATATATCTTTCTTCCTAGTGTGTGTTCATGGCCTAGGGGTGAGAGTCTCTGACTAATATTAAATCAGTTGGGTTTCAATCCTGGCTTGAAGCAATTACATCTCTAGCTAGACTGCTGAGCTGTGAAACAGTCTGTCTGTGGATGACTATATATATAAATATATATATATATATTGGCAACTAGGTCCTATTCTTTTATATTTAAAATTGCTAGATGCAACTGTAAGTTCTATGCTAACAGTTTCTTCTCTCACACTTCTCACTTGTGGAACTCTCTTCCACCTTCTTACTTTCTGGTCAACTTTGATCTTCAAAAATTTAAATGCAATGTCAATCGTTATCTTCTGTCTTCTTAATTTCTGTTCTTTTATTGTTCTCTCTCCTTAATAATGTTTTCTTTTTCTCATATTCTTTCACATTCAGTAACCTCTTCCATCTTATTGGCTTTATTGCTTTTCTTGGAGTGAAATGATTAGAAAAAAAAGGTAAAATCTTTTATGCAACATGTGCCTTCAGAACAATCATGGCTCTCCACAACTTCCTAATCTTTGTAGCTCTAAGGCTTAGAGCTACAAAGATTACAAATGAAATAGCCCAATACAGAATTTTACATTATTTTTAACTATTATAAATTATTATAATTAAAATTTTAAAAAATGAAAAAAATTCTTGTAAAAATTCATTATTCATCAGAAAAATTTTATTTCTTCAGACAATAATGTCCTTAATAGAACTTATTTACAAAAGCAATTAAAAGCTTTTCTAATTAAATAATGTCATAGTTTTATTACAATCATTATTGTTCAATTCAGAGCAGATTTTCACTTAGAATAGAGCAAATTTGAAAAAAAAGTAGGTGATTTATAATCTCCAAGGGCTATTACTTTTAACAAATAAAAATTCAGAAAATAGAAAGGTTTTGTACAAAATTTCATGAAATTAAGTAAGTTAGGGAGGGGGGGTAACATATGTAAAAAAAAATATTTTTTACCAAAATTTTCTAAAAAAGAAACATTTCAAAAATAATTTCTTTCATTTGTGAATAAATCCTGAAAATTTCATTAAAATTGGACAATTATTTGATTTTTATAAGAATTTCCAAATCAATATGTTTTCAACAGAAAAAAAAAGCACAAAAACGTCAATGTTATTATATAGTCACCGCCTTTGTGGCCTTTTTCATTACACTATGCTCTTTTCCACGAAAAAGTGGAGGTACCTACTCTAAGGAAATTTTGTTCCTTTTCTATCCCTCCCTGTCGATGTTCTGTGATTATCAAAAGAAAAGGAGAGTTATCCAGAAACTAAAAACAACTGAAGTCCAATGAAAAGTCTCTCGATTTATAGGTTTCATGAGATCACTTAACATGAGTTATCGCTATTAGAACCAATGTCTATGATGTTATCCTTATTATTAATCTTATCTTTGTCATTATTTGTTGCAATATTATTGTAAGTTGAATTCTTGTCATTATTGCTGTTATAATTGAAAGGAAAATTGTAACTGCTGAGCAATCTTGAACTTTGCTCTCATCAGAATTGTAATTCATCACCAAGTCATAATGATTATTGACGCCATTACTATCACCATAAATCAACTCCCTCATTAACTCTTTCAGTCCTAACGGTATATATATATATATATATATATATTTATCAACACGGACTACCAAAATAGTCATGGAACCTTAAGGTTGTCTCTTTCTTAATTATTTAATTAATATTTGGTCTGGTGTTACATTGAGCTCTGTGGATTACATCCTCTTTAGAATTATCCACACAGATTACCAAACCCTTCATTAACTTACTATATATATATATATATATATTTATCCCAAGAAAATGTTTTGGTAATATTAGTTGTTAATTTCTGTAAATAATCCTAGTTTTTTGTTGCATAACAATACTGTTGGAATAGTTTAGTCTAGGCCTTAAGAAATTTACTCTGAGGTTTAAAAACATATTCAGTGCTTATTGGAAGTCTTATCAGGCCATCAACCTAGAAAATTACTTAAAATTTGTAATAAAATAGGTTTAAGATGATAAATGTCAATACCTTCTTTCTTTCTTTCTTTCTTTCTTTCATTCTTTTAATATATCCTTTCCTTCTCTTTTCTTTCTTTGTTTTATTTCTTGTCCTTTTCCTTTAGTCCTTCTTCTTCCTCTTGCTCTTCTTCTTCTCCTCCCCCTTCTGTCTTTGTTTTATATCTCATTCTTTTCCTTTATTATATCCTCTCCTTTTCTGTCCTTCCTCTTCTTCTTTTTCTTTTCCTCTTTATCCATTCTTTTTCTTCTTCTGTTTATTTTTATCTTATTCTTTTCCTTTATTATTTTCTTTCCTTTTCTCTCTTCCTCCTCCTTCTCCACTCTTCTTCTTCTTCTGTCTTTCCTTTATATCTCACTCTTACCTCTATTATCATCATCATCATCATCATAATAATTCTTCTTCTTCTTCTTCACCACCATTATTGTTACCAATCTCAGTCATTTCTATGTTTTTGTCCTTCTCCCAATGTGGTATTGACTTGATGTTTTGCAAATTTGCTATCAAGTTGCTGACTTTGTACAAACTTAAGTCTAGAAATCAAATAAAGATTGTCCAAATAAAAATAAAAATGGAGGACAGTTTTCTTGTTTTGCTTTGAAAGAATCCCTTTTGGCTCAGAATTTTGAAGTTCTTAATGCTAAAAACAAAAAGGCATGTCATCAAAAAATAAAAATGGTGATATCTTAAAAGTACAGCTTATAAACAGTTAAGTGGAATTCCATTAAGAAAAGCTGAAAGAAACGCTTTGAATGACTTAATGCATTTAGATTGAGACAATCAGACAATGACTGCATTGCATTGTTTGTGTTCAAGTCTATGATACCTTACCAGGGCATAATTGTTATTCATGCAGGCCATTAACCCCTCACACACACACACATTTTTGGATAACCCAAATAACTCAAGGTCATTATGAACAATTACAAAATAGCAGCCATATTTGACTAATTTTGAAATTGCCTTGATTATATTTTTTGCATGAGTAATCTTTGATTTTGATTTGTTTCTTATTACTATAAACATTATTTTTAGTGGGTACACGTGGTGATTTCCTAAATGTAGATTTGAAGTATAGGGCCACCCAGTGAGGATCAAACTCACTATTCAGTCATAATTGGTCTAGCGAGAAAAGCTTTCTAACCATTGCATCACGTTAAGGTGCCCAAATGTTGTCCTAAGCATAGCTTTGATGTGGCACAAGACCAAAAGTATGGGGGCACCCAGTGAGGATCAAATTCAATATTCCGCCGTAATTGGTCTTTTAAGACAAGCTTACTAATTACACCATGTCAATGGGCCCAAATGTTTTTCTAAGCATAGTTTAGATGCGACACAAGACCAAAACTATGCAGCCACCCAGTGGGGATTGCACTCACTATTCAGTCATAATTGATCCAGCTAAGCAAGCTTGCTAACCATTGCACTATGTCAAAATGGCCAAGAGAGTATACATGGTTGAGTCAGCATACATGCTTTTTTCCCAACAGTGAAATTAATGTCTACCAGCTAGATCATTGAAAGTCTTATTAAAGAAATATACCTCTTCAGATAAATTGATCCTCCATTTCCTTTTCTCTGGAAATTCGCTTGGGTTAAATGTTCCATAAAAGCTAAGCTAGTGTTTAATTACCCTTCTTAAGAAAGGTACACTCCTTGTGAAGACATTTTCGTTGTGTGCCATATTTTCTTGCACATGATACAAAACATTTTGAATGAAAACTAAAGGCAAAATGGCGGCCGTATAATACGCAAGTACACATTTTCCAAAATTTATATTCAGCTTAAAAAACAACTCTTATTTGAAACTACAACATTGTAAATACACTCAGCACAATAGCTAATAAAACACAAAGTAGGCAGGGGTTGATAACAATTGTTTCCAAAAGGTATTTGATATGTCGGCAATAGTTGTTGCTTCTCTCTTCATTCTTAATGTCGGGCAATATGCTTTTTTTTTTAATTTTATAGTTTATTAGTCTATAAAAAGATAAAGTTATATTAAACAGAAAAATATGATAGATTAGTTAATATCTTAAAATTACTATTACTAATACCTTTTAATGTATTATGGGGCTAGTTAGCCCCGAAAATAAATTTTGAAACAGAAATTAGGAGAAGAAATATGAAATGACAAAACATCTGTTTCATTTCTATTCGATAAAAATGCAAATCCATTACATTCATTTACGTGCTAATACCCTTGGGAATGGTATGAATCCTCGTCTCCCCCCCCACATCTAATAATAATAACAAGCAACAATGATCAATAATAAATAAATAAATAAAATGTTAACAAACAACACCAAGCCCCCAAACTGCATTCTGATCCACAATTATTTCCACCCAATACCCCTTAGAATATTTTGAAAACATAACCGTTACCGGCCACCAAAATAACCGTTAGGACAATACAATAGACTACCACAATGCATGACTGACCTGTATATATCAATAGTCGAGCAAAAACACAATGCATACAGACTGACGATTGAGTATAAGACTACAATGTCTGCTTTATATATATATATATATATATATATATATATATATATATTGCAGAATTATATTAGGAACTTTTACTATTGTATGGTAAATTCTAAATCTTTTTCTCCCAGCTATGGATAAATAACAAGACAGACTGAGTTCTATAGCCTTGAGTGGCAACTGGTCTACCGCAGAAAGAAATGGCAAGCTACTGCAGGAAAAAATCTGCCTCATCAGTCATGTATCGAAAGATACACGATGACCTCAGCATGTCTCATGCATGGCATATAACTGACTGAAACATGAAAAATGAAATATTTTTTTTAGTAAAATATATATACGAAAAGGAGGTTTTATTAAATAATATGATACAACTTTTCAAGAACACTTATATAGGGATGGCTACACTACAGTATTATACTCGAAGATGTATATATATATCTTTGTTTTTAGCTCCTGAAACACTCAAGTTGTATCATACACATGGAAATACAGAACTTTTCTGTTAAATCAACCAAGATAAGAATTTATATTTACTAAAATTTATACCAAATTCTTCCAGAGCAAGATACGTCTGTTGCACTCCGGCTGGATTGAACTTTGCGATCACCCCAAAATGTGAGTGATTCGGGTAAGCTATTTCTAAGTGTGGGGTCTGCATCGCGCTCATCTCTATCTTTCTTTTTATGGATGTAGACAATCATGGCTCTCCACCTCCTTCTATCCTTTGCAGCTCTCAACAAGTTCCTTCCCTCTGCCTACTCGCATATGCCAAGTTCTGTCATCCACTTAAGTCCGCCAGGTATGTCACACATTGTTTCCCTTGTCTCTCTTTCCCTCTATTCAACCCGTGAGTATCACATTCTCCATGTCCTCCTTTCTCATTATGTGTCCCAAAAATTTCAGCTGCCTCTTCCTGATATTAAGTATAAGCCTCCTCCTTGTTTACAACATCTCTAAGACCTCATCGTTGCTCACACACTCAGTCCATAATATCCTTAGCATCCTTCTGTAGAACCACATCTCTGTCACCTCGAGTCTCTTTTCCATCTTTTGAGGAAATCGCCCAACATTCGCTGCCGTAAAGAAGGACAGATATCACGTAACCATTCAGTATTCTTTTCTTTGTTACCAAAGATATAAACAACTCCCAAAAAGATTTTTTTTTTAAATTGTAAAAAATTCCTTGTAAGTTACTCGAATATCATCCGTACATACGAAATGGTAATAACTCCCTGATTTTTGGTAATTTTTCCTTCTGAGGGTTGGAACTCACAATCTGCCACTGGTGGCCCACTGTCGGACCGCGTGTTTGTCTTGACAATATTACCGCTTGTGGACCGATAGTGGCCCACTATTGGACCGCCGGTGTTGCCATCAGCAGACCGCCAACGGGCCACTAGTGGCTTACGTGTATGGTTGTTGCGAGGCAAGGTAAACAAACTTTGATATAAAACTTATAATTTTTCGGGGGTAAATTAAAAATTTGTAACTTTACATTATTTGGTGTGATTAATTCAAGAAAAGATTTGAAAATAAAATATTATGACAAAAGAAAATTATTAAACAAAATAATTAAAATAATAATTGATAAAAAAAAAAGTGTACGTAAATAAATATTATAATCGTCTGGGTTTGTTTTATACACTTACTTTTAGAGAAGTAAAAAAAATAGCCAGACAGTTTATAAAAAATTGTTATAATTTGTCTGTAAAAAAAATTACATTTTTAGAATTGGCTCTAGTTTGGTTTAGTTTTTGTTTTAAAAAAACCTCAATTTATTTAATGCCGATTTTTAGGATATTGGAACAGAATGTGTATCTATTGGTTTGGTTTGGTTTATTTTGTTTTACGGCATATCAACCTCAATGGGTTATTTAATGCCGACAACATTTTTAGGATAGATTCTTATGAATTATGTATTCTTGTTTAGATTGGTTTGGTTTAAAATAAACCAAACCAATCTAATATGTTGTAAAACAAAATGTTTTACGGCATATCAACTTTGGGTTTTTAATGCCGATTGGATTTGGAATTATGTATTCTTTGGTTTAAATTGGTTCGGTTTTGTTTTACGGCATATCAACCTCAATGAGTTATTTAATGCCAACAACATTTTTATTGCTGGTTTTTTTTTTTTTTTTTTTTTTTCAAAAGTGTATTGCTCGTAATATTTTTTTCCTTCAAAAATCCATTTCTGGTAATATTTTTTCTTCAAAAATGTATAGCTGGCAATATTGTTTATTTTATTTTCAAAAATGTATAGCTAGTAAAATAATGTATTGCTGGTAATATTTTTTTCAAAAATGTATAGCTGGCAATATTGTCTATTTTATTTTATTTTCAAAAATGTATAGCTGGTAAAAATGTATTGCTGGTAAAATCTTTTTCAAAAATGTATAGCTGACAGTATTGTTTATTTCATTTTATTTTATTTTCAAAAATATATAGCTGGTAAAAATGTATAGCTAGTAATATTTTTTTCAAAAATGTATAGCTGGCAATATTGTTTATTTTATTTTCAAAAAGGTATCGCTGGTAAAAATGTATTGCGGGTAATAATTTTCTTCAAAAATTTATTGCTGGTAGTAATTTTTTTACAAAGTATTTCTGGTATTAAAACCTATTTTTACACTTTCATAGTGTTTTGATCACAGTTTGTTGGTTAAATATTTGCCTATAGCTGGGACCCTAACAGGTGCTACCACCCCGGGTTAGGGTGGACCTGGGAACACCAGCAATTAAGAGGTGGTTCCACACTCCTCAAAACCTCCTGATTAGAGGACTTGTTGTTGGACATAGTTTATCGTCATACCTAGGACGGAGAATTGACTTTGAAAGTACCGCCAAAAATATTTCTGTTAAAGTGGACGGTTTCAAATTTAAAAGAAATATATACTATTTCTATTTATTGTCCAATCAAAAACGTGAGCTTATGCTCACGTAAATTTAAAGTTAAGCTCCCTCTACGTTATATAAAAAGAGGGGCCAACGGACAACTTTTGAGAAGGCATTGCAATTTCAGACCAGAAAGACGTACTGCCTCCTCCTGGATTAGCCTTCCGGCCGGCGCACCGACGTGGAAGTAACATGATTTTCGACTAGAAGGTAATCAAATTTTCAAAGAAGGTTGTAAAATTTTTAGACCAGAAGGCATATAAATTGTCGAGGAAGAAATAACCATATTTTTCGAGCAAGACAGAAGAAGCGACATGAAAATCTCATCCTGAAGACAGAATGAGTAGGACCTTGAAGGGAAAAGCAGTTTTTGGTTGTCGCCTGTGGGTGAGCTGGTGTGTTTCTCGCAGAAGTATTATACGTAAAAAGGAGAACTGAAACCTGTGAATAAAAACTGTGTTCTCAAAAGAATAAATGATTAAAAGCCCAGTGACACCAGTGGACTTTTATCACCCCCACCCCATTCCTCTGTTATATTTTTCATCTTTCGATTTGGTGGGTGAACTTTTATTTTAAACGAGTATCTCTTCGTAAGGCACAAGAAAGGAAATTTTTGTGCAAGCCTATTTTATAAATTGTTTTTCTTCTATCGTTTTAATGTTTTGTAATAAATGTTTGTTCCTTTTAAATTTCACGTAGGAGTCTCGGGCTTTATTTGTTGATTGTATCATTTTTTTTTTTAATGTTCGGGATAAGAAAGGAGACATTCTCTAGTCTCTCATTCCCCCCACAATATTTATTAAGAGAACTAACGGACAGGAAATTGTGGAGAGCCATGGTTGCCAACGACCTGGATGGAGATGGCACATAGAATAAGAAGAAATTGAAAAGTTAGTATTTGTTATTGCCTTGACTCTGGAAGACACTGATGCTGCAAGGCTGATTGTACATACCACCGTTGGTGTTTTGTACACACCAGCGTTGGCTTTTTATACAGACGATCATTATATTTCTGTACAAACCATCGTTGGCTTCTAGTGCAGAGGATCTTTAAATTTCTGTACAGACCATCGTAGGTTTTTTGTGCAAGCAATCATTACATTTCTGTACAAACCATCGTTGGATTATTGTACAGACGATCATTACATTTCTGTACAAACTATAGTTGGCTTTTTGTACAGGCGATCATTACACTAGTGTACGCACCATCTTTGGTTTTTTGTGCAGACGATCGTTACATTTCTGTACAAACCATCGTTGGCTTCTTGTACAGAGGATCATTACATTTCTGTACAGACCATCGTTGGCTTTTTGTGCAGAAGATCATTACATTTAGCTTTTTGTGCAGGCGACCATTACATTTCTGTACAGATCATCGTTGGCTTTTTGTAAAATAATGATTGGCATCTTGTGTTTAGCCATTTCTCATCAATCTATCTATCTTTAGCCATTTCTCATCAATCTATCTATCTATCTATCTATTTATCTATCTATTTCAGTACTTCTGTTTAGCCATTTCTCATCAATCTATCTATCTCTCTATCTATGAAGCTATCTATTTCAGTATTTCTGTTTTGCCATTTCTTATCAATCTATCTATTTCAGTATTTCTGTTTAGCCATTTCTCACCTATCTATCTATCTATCTATCTATCTATCTACTTCAGTATTTCTGTTTAGGCATTTTTCATCTATCGCTCTCTCTACTTCAATATTTCTTAGCCATTTCTCATCTCTATCTATTTCAGTATATCTGTTTAGCTATTTCTCATCTATCTATCTATCTATCTATCTATCTATCTATCTATCTATCTATCAAGTCTACTTATGAAATAGACAGTGTCTGCCAATGTCACATTTTTGCGTCCTTTCTGCTTTCTTTAACAAATTCCACTTTCTCAAAGCCAAAGTCCGTTGTGGTTTTGTTCGTTTCTTGAAACGATTTACAATTTCTCTCCCCAGTTTTCTAATCTCTTCTTCTGCCGGGATTACCTTTTGTTGACAAACGAAAACAAGTGAGTGAGAAAGAAGTGGAGAAATGTCAGTACATTTCCATTTTGGACAACTGAAATGATTGGAATGAATAAAATAAATAATATAAAAACAGTCAGGTAGAGAAAAAAATTATCGGAAAGTTGAAAAGGGGGGAAAAATGAAGAGGGCACCCTAGTTGAAGAAAGAAAGAAAATAAGTAAGTAAGTAAAGGAAGGAAGGAAGGAAGGAAGGAAGATACACTTAAAAAGGAAGAAAAGAAACATGAGGAAGAAAAATAAAAGAACAAGAGTTAGATGTAAGCAAACAACGAAAGAAAGAAAGAAATAAAGAAAGACGAGGGAAAGAGAGTGAAGGAAGGAAGATACACTTAAATAAAAAAGAAGAAAAGAAACATGAGGAAGAAAAATAAAAGAACAAGAATTAAAGGTAAGCAAACAACGAAAGAAAAAGAAAGAAAGAAAGAAAGAAAGATACACTTAAATAAATAGGAAGAAAAAATCATGAGGAAGAAAAATAAAAGAACAAGAGTTAGATGTAAGCAAAGAAAGAAAGAAAGAAAAAAACGAGGGAAAGAGAGTGAAGGAATTAATAAAATAAATCATATAAAAACAGTCAGGTAGAGAAAAAAATTATCGGAAAGTTGAAAAGGTGGGGAAAATGAAGAGGGCACCCTAGTTGAAGAAAAAAGAAAAGTAAGTAAAGGAAGGAAGGAAGGAAGATACACTTAAATAAAAAAGAAGAAAAGAAACATGAGGAAGAAAAATAAAAGTACAAGAAGGTAAGCAAACAACGAAAGAAAGAAAGAAAGTGAAGGAAGATACACTTAAATAGAAAGGAAGAAAAAATCATGAAGAAAAATAAAAGAACAAGAGTTAGACGGAAGCAAAGAAACAAGCAAACAAACGAAAAAGGTGAAAGAACGAATGAAAAAAAACATGGACAAAAATTGGAAAGAAAGATCCGCTTAAAAAAAAAAAAAAAGAAACAAGAAATAAGAGAATATAAAGAAACAAGGACAAAAAATTAAAACATTTTAAAAAATGTATGAATAAAATTAAAAATAATTGAAAAACCATAAAAGGACAAAAATGATTTTTTTTTCGTTCGCTTGTGCGCAAGGAATTCTGGGGCCAGTTGAGATTTCCAATCTTTAAAGCCGACCAAACCCTCACTTTCCTTTTCTCTCCATTTTTATGCCACACACTACTTCTTTAAATCTCCGGATTCATATTCGGGCTATCAATCTTTCAATGCGAGTTAGATGTGACAACTTGTATATTTGATACAACATCGTTGTTGTTATAATTACTGTTTTATTATTTTTGTTATTTTGCGATGATGGCTGTCAGTGTTGATTTCTTTGCTACTGCTATTTTCTTGGGCTAATTCTTCTTCTGATAACCTTTAAAGCACTTTCACCAAACTCCGTCCTGAGGACTTTTTACTTTTAGTTTTTTTTTAGGTTTTTTATTTTATTTTATTTTAAAGAACAGATTTACTGGCAAAAACCATACGGACATGTTCCGTCCTTGTCACTGTGTATTTGACAAGCGTTCGCGCTTTACTGAAGTGTGTTTTTTTTGTACGTAATTTTTTGTATTTTTTTTTTTTATATATATACTGTTTGTTAGGTTTGGGGTAAGGTGTGACATTTTAGATATGACTTTATTTCTTCTTTGTTGTCCGTGCGGAGAGAATTTGCAACTTCTTACAAAAGAGAAATGAATGAAAAGTGTGCATCACTTTTCTATTTTATTTTTCTGTTTTATGATTATTTTTTTTTTTTTGCACTCTCCATGTAGTCTTGAAAAAGAATATATTGACATTTTATACGATTTTTTATTTATATGTTGGCATTTTAATATCTTTTTTTTCTCCCTGTCACTGTCTGCATTTTCGAGGATGTTCCGAAGTTAGATGATGAAGATGAAAACGTCTTATATTCCCCCTCTTTTTTTTACCATTTGTTTTTCCTTTTTTTTTTTTTTTCCTTGTGTTGTTCTTTTTCAACTCTCCTTCATTCCCAAACCTTTTGGTATCCCCCCACCCACTCCAGCCTTTTTTTTTTTCATAATAATCATCGTCTTCAGGTTATCTCAGAATTTTATCTGATCATAACATGACATTTTCTTTTTCATTCTCGACCATTTGTGTGTGTTAAAATCAATTTCTTTCGTTCTTTCTTTCTTTTCTTCTTTTTTCTTTTTTTATTTCTTTCTTTCTTTTCTTTCGTTCTTTCTTTCTTTTTTCTTTCTTTCGTTTTATCGTTCGTTTTTTCGTTCATTCGTTCGTTTTCTTGTTTTTCTTTCTTTCCTTCTTCCCTGTCTTTCTTTTTTCTTGTCATATTTTCTGTTTCTAACCTCTGTGTTTCCGTTTTTTGTTGTTGTTTTTTTTATTTTATTTCTATCAATTTCTTTCAATTTACGCTTTCTAGTTTTTCACTCATTCTTTCATTCCTTCTTTCCTTTATTCTATCATTATCTTTTTACTTTCTTTCTCTGCTTACTTTTTATATCTCTCTTTATAATAACTCTAATTCATTTTTCTCTTTCCTTTTCTACCCTCTCTCTCTCTCTCTCTCTCCTGTTGTCTTCTTTAGAATACTTATCTATCAATATTCTTTTATTTATTCTGGGTTTTTTTTCTCTTCCTTCTCACTGTGTCTCTCAGCTGATAACTTTTTGCTCTCTTTTTAAATTCCAATCTTTTCCTATCATTTTTTCCCCAGGTTATCTTTGATTTTAACGTCACATACTCTTTATCTTCCCCGTTCAATTGCTTGTGTTCAAATTAATTTTCTTCCTTCCTTCCTTCCTCCCCCCTCTTTGTTTATACATTTTAATTTTCGTAAGAGTTAGGGAATTTATACCAGGTACCTGGAAAGGTCAGCTAAGTCTGCCACAAGCTGATGTTACAAAAACTGCCACTCCAGTTATATTTTAAATTTCAATAAACCGAAAAAAAAAATGACCGCATTTTTTATCCGAAATTGATTGTTTATTAAGCATTTAGGTACGTGCTTGTGTCAAATATCCGGGTTAGCTTAATAATTTTTAATATTATGGCTTTTCTTTTTCTTTATTATCAGTGAATTATCATACGATAATAACGTGGTTACTCGCTACCATCTCCATGGTTTGACACTCCGGGTTTGCTTCTTTTTTTCTTACATTGGTTTCCACCGACCCTATCTTTGAAAAATGGTAAGTACCCAAGATGAGAATATTTTCAAAACAGAAAAAAAAGCAAGGAAAAAAATAAAGGAAAAATAGCTTTATGAATATATTATTGTTTATGGTTTAAAAAAATAAATGATTTTGTGCTATTTCTGGAAATTTAGGGAGTACGATTTATAAGTAAAATCTTGGTGGGTATTAAAGAATACCCACCAAGTTTTATTGTTGTATTATTCTCTCATGCAACATGGCTCCTTCTTCGGATATTTTTAAAATGGTTCCATGAAGGAAGAGGAAAGAAAACCTTGAGAAGTTACACGCAGTTTCTTAGATTAAAGGTTGTTTTTTTTTCTTCTCACTCTTTTGTAATTTATTCACCCTCCCCCCACACACACTGAAACTTGTTTACTTTTTTCTATTTCTAGAATTAATTCTAATTCTTTACTCTCTTAGTTTCAGAGTCTTGATTCTTCTTCTCCTATTCTTATTCTTCTATTCTTATTCTTATTCTTCTATTCTCATTCTTCTTCTTCTATTCTTCTACTATTCTTATTCTTCTTGTTCTTCATCTTCTATTCTTATTCTTGTTCGTCTTCTATTCTTCTTCTTATTATTATTATTATCATTATTATTATTATTATTCTACTACTGCTTATTCTTATTCTTATAATTCTTATCATTCTTATTCTACTTATTATTATTATTACTATTATTATTATTATTATTATTCGTATTCTTCTGATTACTAGCCAAATCCCGGTCTTACGGACATTTTCCTTAATAATAATTAAAAAAATAATTTAGCAGACGATGTTATTTTATTTATGGTAAATGGAAATTTTGTCGATTGATTCTGTCGTTCGATACTTCGCGTATGAAAAATGGAGCTTCTCGGCCTTTTGGTTCGGAGAAGTTCAAATAATGTTAAGCCCAGGCCCCGTGGGTAGGGGGCTTCCTCCCCAGGCAATACCACTTCTTCGAGAGGGTACTGGATATACTGCCTAGCACCTGAGGCGTCCGCAAAAGGGTGAAGTGCCGAGGGTCCTGGTCTTGGGAAGTTTTTGCACAGTATCGCCGGTAAACCTACTTTATAATGACAGTGTGTAGCGGCGTAGGCGCACAAAAATACCCTCGGTCTTTTGGCTGTGATCAAAGTGTAGTATCTGCCCTCAGGCGGGTAAACTACATTTCATCTCTCTGTTGTGTCTCTGTCTTCGGACAGTGCGCAACTGAAAATATATTTTCTCGGTTTCGGGAAACAGCTACCCGCGGCAGTAACCCTTTCCCCCGCACATCTCATTGCGCTAAAGAGGGGAGATCGGTTATATACCAATGTCAGCGCCACTGACGGTTGCGGGGGCTGCGCTATTTTCTAACCTGGCCTTCTGTCAAGGTTGCTGAGCAGCTCTAACAGATCTTTGTAGCGTACTTTGTCGAACGCATTTGCGTCACACATTAAAGATTCATATTTCGCCTGTATTAGATTTCTTAATGCTGATGTGATAGTCATGGCCATTCAGTTAACCTAAATGATTGATCATGACAACCATCGCAAGGAACGAGCGATTTAAATGTCGAAAAAAAAATAATCCTCTCATTCTGCAAATAATTTCAATAAAATACGCTACCTAAACAACGAAATACCATTTTAAAATTGAATTAAACTAAACTAAGAAATAACAAACAAATTATGAAAAATTCGACAAAAAATATTAAAAAATCAGACAAAAAATATTGAAAATAAACACAGCGTAACAAAATTGTAAGAAAAACTAACGACGAAAATGTTTTTCACAAAACAAATACTCTGTTGGCCAGAAAGTCCTAACTCACTTAGGAAGCGGACAGAAAACAACAAATCTTGATCTCTGTCTGGTGGAATTTTCCAAAGAGTACAGCATTTCGGGCTTGTTCCATACGGTCGCACCACCAATGCTAAACTGTATTGTCAGCTGTTAGACTCCGTGTACGACAAACTAAAGGAGTATCCTGCTTTGGCCAATCGAGGTGGGGCTTTGTTTCAGCAAAACAATGAGAGGCCACACACTGCCAGGTTGACTAAGGAGAAGTTCAAATAGATGGATGGTCTTGAGATTCTTCCACATCCACCATTCAATCCCGATGCTGCTCCAAGTGACTATGGCCCATTCCGCTCAGTGGCACACTTTCTATGTGACCAGCGATTCAACACATTTAATGAAGTGAAGGAAGCTTGCTTACAGATTTTTTTATTCAAAGCCAATGGACGGGTATCTGGAACGGATTCGGATGCTAGCTGATCGAAGAGAAGATCGTCGAGAATAATGGACTTTATTTCGAAGAATAAATATTGATGTTACTCCATAAAATTTTGTTTTCTTTCTGCTTCTTGAATAAGTCACGACTTTCTGGCCAACCTAATATTATTGAAAATGAAATAAATCAGCAATTGGTCCTGATCTGGCAAATCGGCTTCAGTCACTTTCCCCAAGGTTGCCTCTCTCTGCCTTTTCTATAAATATTTTCATGGTAATTGTTCGGATGAGCTTATCGTTATAGTACCTAGGATTTTTTAAATTTAAGCACAGTACTAGACTGGCATCGAGATATCCTCAACTTACAGTTGAGCTGGTTAAATGTAGCCGTACATTCTTTGCTAACAGTTTCTTTTCTTGCACTTCTCACTTGTGGAACTCTCTTATGACTCCATGCTTTCCAGCCAACTTTAATCTGAAAATATTTAGATGCAGTGTCAATCGTTCTCTATAGCCCTCCTGATTACTTTTTTTCTTTTCCCGCTCACCGTTAATGTTTCTGTTCCTAATTCTTCCACACCCTGTAACCCCTTGTGTCTTAGTAGCTTTACTGCCTTGCATGGGGTGACACTGATTACTTACATTACAATAAAGTAAAACAGGACCAATGAGAATAAATAAATTAAAACTAGTGGCGTTTTAAACATATCTTAAATTTTAAGAAATGCAAATGGCGAAGGTTTGAAGAATATTTTGGATACAACAGTTACAAAATTCTTCCGGAGCAGAATAAACGAGAAAGAAAAAAAAAAATTTTTTCCAATTCAAAAATAAAAGCGAAAATCTTCACACCTTTTTTTTTTTTTCTTAATATATTCACTCACTTCCTCCGGCAATGGCAAATTTTGCTTAAGAAGAAAAGCAAACAAACAATACAAACAAATTCGAAATAAAAGGAAAAATAGTCTAGCTAAAAATGAAAAGGTGCAAGATTTTCACCATAGAATATTTTAAAAGAAAACAGAAATTAACGATAAAACAGATAAGAAAATGTGTGTGTGTTATACATATAGATAGATACACACGGTGTACATATGAGCATACGTATACACACTGTCGACTCTCGGATGCCAAATAACCGTCCGCCATCTTGTTAATTATGAGATCCTCCCACTTATTAATTTTTGATTATTCAAAGTCACCCTACTTAGTTTCTGGAAAATTTTAATTTTTGAAATGCACTATGGTGGGAAACTTTTGTACTTTTAATGAAATATCTTACATGTTAGAATGGTTTAGACTCTATAAACATAACATTTAAAATAAGCGAAGATCCGGGTCACATTGCAGTAAAAAAAAAAAAAAAAAAAAAAGGCAGGCATTGGTCCGGTTTACACTAGAGTCAAAAAGCTAGACTTAGGTCCAGTTTACACTAGAGTCAAAAAGCTAGACTTAGGTCCAGTTTACACTAGAGTCAAAAAGCTAGACTTAGGTCCAGTTTACACTCGAGTAAAAAAGATCCGATTTACACAAGAGTAAAAATGGCAAACGTAGGTCCGCTTTACACTAGTTAAAAAGATAAGCATAGAGTATCTACCTGGAAAGTAGCATCCATTTTTTTTTTTTTTTTTTTTTGAGAGGGTGTCTCATCTATGTCAAAGATGAAGTCGGTGTTTTCCAAGGAAGCTATTTTAGGTTCGGCGTTGAATGTTGTAATCTTTTACTCCCAGTGTATTATTTTAATGGGGTACTCATAAACACAAGCAGCAATAACGAGTCTTCTACTATTATTTTTATGTGCAGTGTCCCTTAAGGATGTGAGCAATCATAGCTCTCCACAATCTTTTGTAGTTCTAAGCAATGTTTTTGGCCTTACTATCTCCCCCAGTCTATGTTATGTTATCCATTTACACAAACTTGTTAGATACACGCTGTTTTCCTGTCTCACTTGTTTTTAACATGTCCTGTGAGTGACAAATTCTCCAAGCTTTCTTTCCTCATTGTGTGTCCCGGAAATTTCAACTGTCTCTTTTTGATTCTAAGTATTTTCCCCAAAACGTCCTTGTCGCTCATACGTTTAGTCCATGGTATTCTAGGTACTATTCTATAGATCGACATCTCTGTTGCCTCGTCTCCTCTTCAGCGGTAAGGAAATTGTCCAACATTTACTGACATGTAGGACTGATATTACATAGCACTTCAGCATTCTTTGTTTCCAACGATTTTTTTCTCGATCATTTGCTTAGCTTTTAAAGATGCCTTCCATTTTGTTACATATAAATTCTTATCGTTCTAAAATACCAAACCGATTTATTTCAGCTTTGTGGGTACATAGCCCTTTGGTTGAGAATTTTTTTCTTGAGGAAGTTCGTGGATCCATTGTTTGTAACTGATCAACAGAGTTCGCAAACCTTTAGTTGCGGAAACTCCATCACCCCATCCCGCATTTTAATTTTAGTGAATTGAGAACCCTAAGTTTCAGACCCATGTCATATACAAACTAACCTCTTCCGATCTATCTCACGCATGCTCAGAGATTTTTCTTTTTTACGCATGCCCGAAAGCTGAAAAGTGGTTACTTCCGTTGATAGGTTTTTTCACGCAAGCGTGTCTGGTAAAAAAGGTTTAACGTCTGCTACAAAGCGATATGGTTCATATTGAAACAACTAGCGAATTAGAACCACAAATTTGAAAGTAGTCATTGCTCGCAACTCAGGATTTAGTTCCTGTAATTGCTTATATTCTATTTATTTAGAAAGGTTTTCACAAACTTACATTCTACGCCAGTCTTGACTAAACCTCCTTACGTCGCTGGAAATCAAATATGGAGATTTCGTTTTATAAGCTTATTTGTTTCATTAGGTCCGAGTTTAGATATTCAATATTTTACATTAAAGGTATTTCAGGCTGCACAGAGTAGATAATCTACCAGCTTCGATATTGGGTTCATCAGTAACCAAAATCAAAACTAGGTAAACCTGCCAGGTCGAATAAAATTCTCAAGGGCCAATCATTATCGATTTTCCCAGAAGTCGATGGACACGTCTTCTTTCTTCGCAAACTTCAATCACATAAATTAGGACTGAAATTATACTGCGAAAAATCTGTCTGCTGTAATAACGCAGGTACTTTTATTAGAAAAGACTGAGTGTGTGTCTAAGGAAAATATTCCTAAAGAGTGTTTAAGAATAATCTTAGAGATAGGTTTCCAAACTACTATTCATTATTAATGATGAATAACAGTTTAGATTCAGTATTCTTTTTTTTTTAGAATACGTGTCTGATGAGCCCAAAATGCAATTTACAGGTCGGGGATGCTAAAATCCTGCAGTTACAGAAATTTAAATATCTGGGAAGTGTTCTGACAGAGGACGGAAAGTAAGACACTGAGATCCGAAGACGTACTGGGATGGCCGAAGATGCCTTCCAAAAGCTTAGCAGAGTATTTAAGCAAGGAATTAAAAAAAAAGCAGGAAAGTTTCGTTGGAAACAAAGAAAAGAATGCTGAACTGTTATGTGATATCTGTCCTCCTGTATGGCAGCGAATGCTGGACAATCTTCTCAAAAATGATGAAGAGACTTGAATCAACAGAAATGTGGTTCTAGAGAAGGATGCTAAGGATACCATGAGCCGAACATGGGAGCAACGATGACGTTTCGGAGAGAATGGAAACAAAGAGGAAACTTATACTTAACATCAGGAAGAGGCAAACCAAATCCCTGGGACACGTAATGAGAAAGGAGGGCTTGGAAAATTTGATACTCACAGGACGGATAGCGTGAAAGGGGGACAGAGGAAAGCAGCGCGTGACATACTTAATGGACTTGAGCAAGTGGATGGCGGAAGAGGGTCTGCGAGAAATAACAAAAAGACAAAACTTATTAAGAGATACAAGGGACAGGAAGATGTGGTGGGCCATGATCGCCTACGTTCTGAAGGGGTACGGCACATAAAAGAAGAAAAGGAGTATGCTTAACAAAACTAACTTTATAGAATGTAGGGTGATTGAAATATGTCATAGTCATACATTTTTTGGTGGGGTTCCTTTTTAAAATCCTTTTATCCGAACCAGTAATGTACAGAAAGGGACAAAGGGTGTGACGACCCCTGGCATTCATATTAGGGGGACATCCAATCAAAGAGTGAAATAAAAATTTAGTTTTTGGAATTTGAAACTGTCGCTGGTAACTTCGTTGTACAAGCTCCCTACAGCCTCACTAAGCCGGCGGGAATGTGGGTACGTGTCTTGATAAGCGGAACCGGAATAGTCACCCCGTATTTGAGTCTTAGAGGCATCAAGGAGTTGGCCCCGGTCATCACCAAACCGCTGCACGTCACAGATCTGAACCTCTTCTTTTTAATTAAAAACTCTCCAACTACTTTCACGTTTTCCGCACACCAGCCTACCTCGTCGTGACCATAATATCCACGGCCCCACACGGAAGTTAATTGTGAAAATCTGTAATCTTTTCCATGTCTGTGTAGTATGTGCTTCTCTACGGTTTTGAATTCTAGAATAGCTGCCAGTTACGACTCGAGAGCCTAGTCTGCATTGCTATTTAACCCGTAGCTAGGGGGGGTGGAACAGAAGAGATGGATGGATAATTTTCCTTAGTGCGAAAGTGAATGCAACGAAATTCGAATTCGAGGGGTTTGAAATCAAAAGTTGTTTTCCTTCTCTCGGTTCGAATCCCTTTCCGGGCAAAAGAATTCCATCTAATCGGTTTAAGCTACCGGTATATGGTATACCGAAGCGGTCTCTCATCTAGTACTGACCAGGTTTGGTGCTGCTTGAGTTTTTTGTTTTTTTTTAATCATTTCACCCCAAGCAAGGCGGGAATGCCACTAGTACGAAAGGGGTTACAGAGAGGGAAAATAAGAGAAAAATCTGGGTATAGAGGGGACTGAGGAAAGGACAAAAGATGAATGTGATTTAAGAAGATAGAAGATGGTGATTGACGTTACATTTAAGTTTTTTTGAAGACTGCAGTTATCAGAGAAGCAAGTAAACGGAAGGGAGTTCCACATGTGGGAAGTGCAGGAAAAGAAACTGTTGGAGTAGAAGTGGCGGTTGCATTTAGCTATTTCAACAGTAAACAGGTGGGACCTAATAGCCAATCTAATAGCTTAAATTCATGTAGTCGGGGCACTAGGGAGAAAAGCTTGTCAAAGTAGTTGCCGTGAAAATATTCGTAGAAAAGACAGCGGGAAGCGACGTCACGTCGGCGAAAAAAATGACTGAAGCCGAGATGCCAAGTCAGGATCGATTACATTGCATATCCTTCTTTGGATTTTATCAAGAACCTCAAGATGAATAGCAGGAGCACCAGACCAGATATGGCAACAGTATTCAGTGCACGAATGAATGGTAGATTTGTAAATGTGCAAGATGGCATTTTTCTGGCACGGCACAGTGACCCAAATTTCCTTGCAGTAGATGCAGCTATGGATTCGATGTATTCGTTCTACTTCAGGTTAGTCGAAAACATGAGACCAAGAAGGCTCAATGTGTTGCCTTCCATGAGTCTAGCGTCAGCCATGCTGATGGCAGGCAGAAAAGTTTTCCTATTTTATGGTGGCAAAAACTTTCACTCTCTGGGGTTGTCACTGGCATACCAGCTTTCGCAGAACTTAATTTCAAGTATTCCAGAATCTAAAAACGGTTACGAATTTCTGTGATTTATCTGTCACGGAATATTTTGGATATACAGGGTGATTGAAAAGTAACTCCCTATTTTATGTATGAGCGGCCATCCAGGAGTCCTGACTTAACACCCTATGACTTTGTTCTTTGGAATTGGTTAAAGGAACATGTCTACTATACCAAACCAAGACTTTGGAAGAACTTGAAGGGCATTTTTTTAAGCATTTCACCCCTAGCAAGGCGGGAAGCCACTAGCCACGCAATGGGTTATAAAGGATTTGAAGCGAGAGCAGATAGGAGTGATAGAGGAAAGGATGAGGAGAAGGATAGTGGATAGATCAAGGCAACTGGAAATGTCAACTGACATTACATTTGAACAGTTGGAGATTATAGCTATCAGGGAAACAGGAATAGGGAAGGGAGTTCCACAGGCGAGAAGTGCGAGATATGAAGCTATTGGTGTAGAAGAGGCGGCTACATTTAACAGTTTCATCAGTGAAAGGGTGAGAGTGGGATGCCAGTCTCGTAGGACGCTTGAATTCGCGAAGACTGAGAACCAGCGAAAGCAGCTCATCGGAGCATTTACCATAAAAGTATTTGTAAAAAAGACAGAGAGAGTCGAAGGCGCATCTGTGAGAGTGCGACTGCTGACGAGATGCCAGATCGAGGCCAAATTTATGTCTTCCATACCACAAGAGTTCCTGGTGAGATCAGTTGATGTGATTCCTGGATGTCTCGAGAAGCTGACAGCAAAATCTGGTGCCCATACTGAATTTTAAATAAAACCTCGAGCTAAATACTTTCCTCTCATATCCATTTCTTGTAAAAAATTATAGTTAATAAATAAATTATAAGTATTTTAAAATAGGGAGTTATTTTTCAATCGCCCTCCATAATGATTGCTTAAAAAATAGTACAATTGGTTTGTTATCTTGATTGATTACCACCAATCCCACTTTTTTACCAGTTATTTTCAAATTATTAACATTATTCGGACTGTTATCCTCATCTTCATTGCCACATTCACAACGTTTCAGCCGTTTTACGCTCCGGCCTTCTTCAGGTGATTGGAATTTCGAACCGAACCCTTTATTTCGTCCACTGGGGTAGATTGTTCTAGTTCCACGTCCCATTCCTCTTCCGGATGTCTCAGTTATTTCCCTTTAAGTCAACGTTTTTTGGTTCACATGACCCAGTGGATAAAGTCATTGGTTAGATCCAGTGGCTAGACCCAAAGAGCTGTGAGTTCAATACCAGGCTACAGCAGTGGTCAACCAGAAAAACCTGGAGCGTTGAGTTAAAGGGAAATAACTGAGACATCCGGAAGAGGCATGGCACGTGGAACTAGAACAATCTACCCCAGTGGACGAAATAAAGCGTTCTGTTCGAAATTCCAATCACCTGAAAAAGGCCGGAGCGTAAAACGGCCGAAATGTTGTGGATATGGCAATGAAGATGAGGGTAACAGCCCGAATAATGTAAATAATCATAATGCCTCATTTCAGAGATATAGACAGTTATTTTAATTTTTTCTTAATGTTTGACAGTTATTGTTCGTGTTTTTTAATGATTATTGTTTTGTTAATATTTGTTGTCAGATATTTTTTATTGTATTGTCAGTGTTTTGTTAGATATTTTGTTGAATCAACATATTTCTACGAGCCACATATTAAAGGTTAAGGAGCCGCAGTTTGGCCACCCCTGGCTTAGAGCTACGAAGGATAGGAAGTTGGGAAGAGCTATGATCGCCTAAGTTCAGAAGGGACATGGAACATAAACTGCGTGCGTAGTGCTTGTTACTTACTTTGCTTCCCAAAGAGATTTGACGCCAAAGATAGAAATCTTGGTCTGTTTTAGAGGAAAGGTATGGCATGGTGTATGACGCCGGAAAAGCTGTATCTTTTAGTTGGCAGTTACGAACTTGAACCACACCTTAAGACTGAGCTTGTTAACGCCAACGGGGCCCAGCTTAGGAAAAGCTGTCACTCACGCTTCCGTGATTTGCTATCTTTTTACGAGCCAAATATTTTCCCGCCTGCCCGGCTAGCTTTTCCACACCACTCTCTCTTCTAACCGGCCGACCTTTGTCTTGTTGATTATTATTGACCCAAACCAATTGTTTCTTATTGTATAACAAAGTGACAGGCTTTGTCGATGTGTTTCGGGAGTGAAAAAGCTGCTTTTTCGTTGACTCGGAACTTCACCGATCGTTGTGAATCAAATAGACGCAATCAGCTTGACATTTGTGACGGTAAAGTTATGGACTGTGGGTAGTAATGAGTGACACCGGATGACAGTGATGGTGGGGAAAAAAAAAGAAACACTGGAAGGCTGGGTTACATCCGTGCTTGTATAATTATTTACTAAGCTTAACTTTTTCTTTTTTTTTTTTTTTTTTTTTTTTTTTTTTTGGTGCAAGGTCCCAAGTATGGGGCGCCCAGAGAAGATCTTTCTAGTTTGTTTAACTTTTCTTTCTTTCTTTCTTTCTTTCTTTCTTTCTTTCCAGGATTTGCTTACCTTTTATTTCTTTTTTCTTTCTTTCTTTCTTTCTTTCCAGGATTTGCTTACCTTTTCTTTTTCTTTTCTTTCTTTCTTTCTTTTTTCTTTCTTTTTTTTTTTCTTTCTTTCTTTCTTTCTTTCCAGGATTTGCTTACCATTTCTTTCTTCCTTTCTTTCTAGGATTTGCTTACCTTTTCTTTCTTTCTTTCTTTCTTTCTTTCTTTCTTTCTTTCTTTCTTTCTTTCTTTCTTTCCAGGATTTGCTTACCTTTTCTTTCTTTCTTTCTTTCTTTCTTTCTTTCTTTCTTTCTTTCTTTCTTTCTTTCTTTCCAGGATTTGCTTACCCTTTCTTTCTTCCTTTCTTTCTAGGATTTGCTTACCTTTTCTTTCTTTCTTTCTTTCTTTCTTTCTTTCTTTCTTTCTTTCCAGGATTTGCTTACCTTTTCTTTCTTTCTTTCTTTCTTTCTTTCTTTCTTTCTTTCTTTCTTTCTTTCTTTCCAGAATTTGCTTACCTTTTCTTTCTTTCTTTCTTTCTTTCTTTCTTTCCAGGATTTGCTTACCTTTTCTTTCTTTCTTTCATTCATTCATTCATTCATTCATTCAAGATCGAAGCCACTGCTTAGGAATAATGGTCAGGGAGACAATGTCCAGGTGTCAAAAGCGTTAATTCTGATGTCTTAAAATTGAAGAGGCTTAAGAATATTTAACCAATTATTTACCCAAAAGACTTTCACTTCCATTTACTGTTCTTTTTATTCAGAGCCTTCATGATTGACTTATTAGTTATCAACATTGAATTTGAATTCTTTCCTTTCTTTCGTTTCTTCGTTAGTTTATTTCCTCCGTTTCTCTCTCTCTTTCTTTTTTTCTTTCTTTCGATCGTTTGTTCATTTATTTCTTTTTCCTTTTCTTTCTTTCGCTCCTTCATAATCCGCTCTCACTTTTTCTTCCTTTTTTATTTGTTCGTTTTTTTGTTTTTCTTTCTGCTTTTCTTTTCTTTCCTTCCTTGCCTCTGCTATTATAGTCGTAAGCCCTTCTCTCTCTCTCTCTCTCTCTCTCTCTCTCTCGTTACTTCCTTGCTTTGTCTGTGCTGTCTGCAATAAGCTACCACAACCCCTGCTGAGGAGTAAGACCTCCACATCCACTATCACTACCAGCCCCTTCCGTGAGGATACATGCAGATTCAAATATAAACCCAACCAATGCTTACCTACGCCTTACCGACCAAGGTCTTGTCCAAGAATTTACAATAATTTTCCGCATTTATCATTTGGAAGGACCAATCGTTTTACTGCTTACAAGACTGTATATTTAAATATAAAACCGAGCAGTACTTACCTATATGCGCAAGCTTAAGTATAATAAAAAAAAACTGAACTCATTAAATTTCCCAACAAGGGTTGGTATATCATAAAATCCACCAACTAAACGCAACTTATCTTTTCTTTCTTCTTACTTTTTCCTTTTTCTGTTTTTTTTTTCCATCTTATCTGTTTTTCTTACTCATCTTCATCGACTTTCTCTTGTTTTTTCTTCTTTCTTTCCTTTACAGGGTCATTGTAACTGTGACATTCCGCCATCTTTCTTTTTGCCTTTCTTTCTCGTGTTTAACTCTTTTTTTTTCTTTCAATGTTTTCTTCTTTTTACTTTTTCTCTATGTTTTCGTCTTGTTATTTTTATTCCATTCCTTCTCTGTTTCTGAATTTTTTTTTCCAAAGGTGGTAGTTTGTTTGCTTTTTGCTATATCATTAGCCAACGTTTTTAATATTCTACATCTTTTCCCTCTGTTTGCTTTTACAACATCAACTTCTCCAAATATTTTCTTGCTTCTCAATACGCATTTCTTGTTTATTCCCCATTCATTTTTTCTCAAATTTTCTTCTGTTGCCTTCCTACAGCCACTTTTTTCCTTGTTCTTGCAAACATTTTCAAATTCTCTTTTTGTGGTCTCTGTTAAACTTTTCCACAATTTCCAATTTTGCGTTCTCATCACCTGAAGTTTTTACAATATCTTGTTTCTCTTTTAAAGTTAAATTTTTCTTTTGACCCATGGCAGTCTTTATATATCTGGAATAAAAAAAAATCAGTAACTCTCCGATGAGCTGCTTTCGCTGGTTCCCAGACTTCGCGAATTCAAGCGTCCTACGAGGCTGGCATCTCGCTCTCACCCTTTCACTATTGAAACTGTTAAATGTAGCCGCCTCTTCTACTCCAATAGCTTCATGTCTCGCATTTCTCGCCTGTGGACCTCCCTTCCCTATTCCTGTTTCCCTGATAGCTTTCATGTCCAACTATTCAAATGTAATGTCAATCGACATCTCCAGTTGCCTTGATCTATCCACTATCCTTCTCCTCATCCTCTCCTCTATCATTACTATCTGCTCTCGCTCCAAATCCTCTATAACCCCTTGCGTATCAGTGGCTTCCCGCCTTGCTAGGGGTGAAATGCTTAATATATATATATATAATGGACTCTCCCGTCGGTTTCGACGTATGAGGATCTGCCAGCTTATTAATTCGGTTATGAAAGTTTATGCGCTAATCTTAAGTGGCATTTAAGACCCGCTAGTGATTTACAAAGGAGGCCACATATGGAGCAAGTGTGAGGATTGTGAGATGAGATTGGTTGACCTTTTAGATCTTGCTCTCGCTTCTTGAAGATGATTCAGAGAAGCAGATTGAGAATAGCTGAGTCCACTAAAACACATTGATCTCCATTCTACCCGCTCCAAAGCTAAGCGCTCAAGGGTGTTATGTGGTATATTGACTGCTGACAAGTTGCTTTTCAGCTTGTCTTTGTATCTTAGCCATGGGCGTCCTACATTCCTGTAGCCCTGATCTAACTGGCTGTACATTAGGATCTTGGGTATCCTGTCATCAGGCATTCTCAAGACATGGTCAGTCCACCGTAACTGAGACTGTATGATAAAAGTCTTGATTCCTCCAATATTACACCTATCAAACAGGTCTACGTTAGATGTCCTATCTTGAAGCTTAACTCCACAGATTGCACGCAGACAGCTTTTATGGAAAACATCTAGCTGGCGTATATGATACCTCTATGGAGTCCACGAAAGGATGGCAAGTACAACAGCTCTGTAAACCCGAATTTTCGTATCCAGTTGAATACCCCGCTCATTCCACAAGCGATGGCGAAGTTTACCGAAAGCACTGGTAGCCTTAGCAATCCGATGCATGATTTCATCATCTAAAGTTCCACTGTAATTGACTTTGCTACCAAGATAGGTGAAAGACTTTACATAGTTCAGAGGTTTGTCTTCTACTCTCAATGGTCTCTCTGGAAATATATATATATACATATATATATATATATATATATATATATATATAATGATGTTAATGTGGCGTATTTATCACAAATATGAATATATCCTGAAAAATATCGATTAATTAATTGCAAACTTAACTTGCATAAGTTGACATTGTTATGGAAAAAAACAACATTAAGGTAAGAATAACTGTTACCCTACAAGTAAACATTTGTCATTCATTGACCGAGCAGCCAGGACAGCTTTCGGTTGAAATTTTAAAAATCTTGTTGCGCCCCAGAAATTTCAATGGCCTCTACCTGACGTTAATTGTAAGTTTCCTTTTTGCTTCCATTTTCTCAAAAAAACTCGTTGTTGTTCACATGTTTGGTCCATGGCATCCTCAGCATCTTTCTGTAGAGCTACATTTCTGTTGCTTCAGGTGTCTTCTTCAACCAAATTAATTATATAAATGTTACGTACGCCCGCATTTAAACACGACGGTATTAATAATTTGATTTCTTTTAAAGTTGAAATTTTTAATAAAATGTTTAAGAAAAAATCCGCAGTAGATGAAATGCACTTTGAATGCTTATCATATAAATGTAAGTACGTCCTGAAAATTCTCCACACCTCAGTTGGTAAATAGTGATTCCATTGCGTAAACATTGACTTGAATAATAAAGTCTGACATAATGTAATGATTCTGGGGAGGATCAGTTTGTTATTTGATAACGATAGAAAAACGATCTTCTCTTGAATAGCGAGCTTCCAAATTGTCTTCATATCTCGACTGCAAACTAGTCAGCTGTGAGAAGCTGTGTTTAATAGGACGTGTTCAAAGAACTGTTACAATCATGTCGTTCAATATGGAATAAGAAGTTGGCAAGTCAGCTTATTGTAAGTAAATTAATGGTATTCTAAAACTAACAGTAATCTAGGATAGTCATATAAGATTCAATACTTTGGGAGTCACCTTGTGTGTGTGAATATATATATATATATATATATACCTATGGTTCCGCCATATGTGAGCACCTCTTAAATAACAGAGGGTGTGTTGCTAATTTTAGTGCTGATTGGTTCACTGTGTTGTCCCGGTCTCACTCGTTATTTCACCTGAAGGTTCTTGGAGTCACTTTCAATCGGGTCCCGCAAACCTTCCCTGTGTAAACAGCGTGAATGTTTGTTGGGTCATGCTGTTATTTGTCTCTAGCTCTTGTGTTAATTCTTTTTCCCCCTTTTCCTTCTCATTGCACATTTTCTAGTGTTTTAATTTAAGTAAAATCTCCCGTGGATAGGCCTGATGAGCGGGAGCGAAACAGGTTGCTTCCCTTTTAGAAATGTCTAATAATATCAAGCTTCACATTTTTATTTCTGTTATTAGATTTTGGACCTTCAAAAATATTTTCATATATATATATATATATATATACGCACGTTTCATTAAATAATATAGACAAGTGTTGTCTATTTTATGTAAATTTTTTTCGTAACGTCTGATAAGTTTAATAACATTATCGTTGAAGCTCAACACACAATATATATATATATATATATATATATATATATATATAAATTAACTGATTTAAAATATTGTTTCTTGAGCACTGTTTTGTAAAAATCAAAATCAATAAGAACACCGGATTATATATCTTACTGTTCTTTCTTTTTATTATAATATAATATATATATATATATATATATATATAAAAGTGAACATATAAGCAATCGTCAGGCCTGACGATTGCTCTTTCATGAATACAGACTCGTCAGGCCTGACGTTGCATATAACTTCTATGTTCACTTTTATATTTACACACGCTCTATCTCTGATATTGAGCACTTTATCGCATAAATATAGCACACCTTAAGACTATATATCTTCATATATATATATATATATATATATATATATATATATATATATATATATATATATATGTGCAAAAGTGGGTATACAGCTAGGAAAATAGTCACTGGCCAAACTTCAAAATATGAAAATCAAATAGCTGATAAACGTGCATGACACTGGCTCACCCCAGCTCAGAATTTTATATAAAACTAAAACAAGGTGTATTCTCAAAGTTTTGAGACTTTTTCAGGAGAGACACTTATTAATTTGAAAGATGTACAAAACTCTAATCTCCTTCAAAGTAGGATCCTCTGAATTCAATACACTTGTTATACACCCCAGTCACTTCATGAAGGCCTCATGGAAGTCATCAAAAGTGAAGGTGTCCTGGACACTTGTCATAGCCTCCTTCATTTTCTCAAAACAATTTCAAAACAACTGACTCCTAAGATTCATCAGTTTGGGAAACAAACAAAAGTTACAGGGTGGAAGGTCTGAACTGGGGGGGGGAGGACAGTTTTGATGCCCATCTTTGTCAACACAAAACCTTATTGCATAGTGAGCTTCCAAATTGTCTTCACGTCCAAAATGCATTCTGCAAACTAGTCAGCTGTATACAGTGTAACCCGGATATAAGAGACCCAGATATAAGAGAGATTTTCTCTGATCCCAAATTCGAGCCCATACTTACCTAAACAAAATAGACCAAACCCGGATATAAGAGAAACCCGGATATAAGAGACTTCTTCTCCGGTCCCGACAATTCTCTTATATCCGGGTTACACTGTAGTTTGGTTTGTTTTGTTTCACGGCATATCAACCTCAATAGGTTATTTAATGCCGACAACATTTTTGTTGCTGGTAATATTTTTTTTCCTTCAAAAATCTATTTTTGGTAATATTTTTTTCTTCAAAAATTTCTTGCTGTTAATAATTTTTTTTACGAAAAGTATTTCTGGTATTAAAACCTATTTTTACACGTTCATAGTGTTTTGACACCAGTTTGGGTGTTAACTATTTGTCCATAGCTGGGACCCTAGCAGGTGTTACCACCCCTGGGTCAGGGTGGACCTGGGAACACCAGCAATTAAGAGGTGGTTCCACGCTCCTCAAAACCTCCTGATCAGAGGCCTTGCTGCTGGACGTAGTTTATCGTCATACCCAGGAAGATAAACGTGTAGTAGTGATATACTAAAATTACAATAATATAGGACAATTATAACGGCCTCACTTAAAAATAAAGTTTCAAAACTTTTGGAATGCATCTCGTTTGTCCAACATTTAATTGAATTAATCATTATTCTGTAAATCCTCTTTGATTGAGGCAAACGACATGCCGTTGAGCCGGCAGGCACTTTTGATACAGCTAGCACGCAGCTGTGTCGACCAATTCTGTGATTTTATTAACCAGGTTCGTAGCAGACCTTGCCGGTATGTATGGAGCTGACCAAACAAATGTTGTTGAATCAGTCAGCTTGATATTGAAGCAGATTGCGTGTCTCTGAGCCAAGCGGCTGTATATAGCCAAACTATCCTGTATTTGCTGCCGAAACGTCTGGCATATAGTTGAGCCGTTCTCTATGCAGCTTTGGCGAGGTGTTGAGTCGTGTGAATTCATTTCATTCAGTCATCAGTTTCTGTTATTGAGCGTGGTCTTCTTTCATACACACGATTTGCAAATACTACCTACGCCAGTCGAACCAACACACAGGTCGCTAGTCTCTGCATAGTTGGCTTCTTTTGTGTCAAACACAGCCAGTTTATAAAAGGCTCTTTTCTGTAAGCCCTTTCAATACGGCCCATTCACTTCCGTGGGCACATGTGAAGGAATATAAATTGAATATATGTATCGGAGCGGCCCTTTCTATCCACTTTGATACCTCAACCATTACGTTGTCTTTCTGTCTCTCTTGTTTTCTGTCAATTTTTCTCGTGTATTTTTTTTTTGTTTTTTCTTTCTCTCTCTCTCTCTCTCTCTCCCCCTCTCCTCTTCTGATTTCCAATGGTGCTATTCTTCGCTGTCTTTTCCTTCGTCTCTTTCTACCTTTTTTTTTTAAAGTTTGCTTAATTTTTTTCTCCGTTTATCTTTTCTTTCTTTGCACAATTTGCTTACCTTTCTTTCATTTTTTGTTTCTTTTTCGTTTGTTTAACTTTTCTTTTTTCTTTCTTTCTTTCTTTCTCGCATTTGCTTACCCTTTCTTTCTTTCTTTCTTTCTATCGTTTGCTTATATTTCTTCCTTCTTTTCCTTCTTTCTTTCTAATGTTTGCTTAATTTTTTCTTTCTTTCCTTCTTTCTTTCCTTCTATCGTTTGATTATATTTCTTCCTTCTTTTCTTTCTTTCTTTCTAATGTTTGCTTAATTTTTTCTTTCTTTCTTTCTTTCTATCGTTTGATTATATTTCTTCCTTCTTTTCTTTCTTTCTTTCTAATGTTTGCTTAATTTTTTCTTTCTTTCTTTCTTTCTATCGTTTGATTATATTTCTTCCTTCTTTTCCTTCTTTCTTTCTAATGTTTGCTTAATTTTTTCTTTCTTTCTTTCTTTCTTTCTTTCTTTCGATTATATTTCTTCCTTCTTTTCTTTCTTTCTTTCTAATGTTTGCTTAATTTTTTCTTTCTTTCTTTCTTTCTTTCTTTCTTTCTATCGTTTGATTATATTTCTTCCTTCTTTTCCTTCTTTCTTTCTAATGTTTGCTTAATTTTTTCTTTCTTTCTTTCCTTCTTTCTTTCTTTTTTCTTTCTTTACAGTTTGCTTACCGTTTCTCTTCCTTTCTTTCATTCTCTCTTTCTTAAGTTTGCTTAATTTTCATTTTCTTTACAGATTGCTAACCTTTTTCTTTCTTTCTTTCTTTCGTTCTAAAATTTGCTTAATTTTCTTTTTTTTTACAGTTTGCTTGCCTTTCTTTTTTTACAGTTTGCTTACGTTTTTTCTTTCTTTCAAATCATTCTTTCTTTCTTTCTAAATTTTGTTTAATTTTCTTTGTTTCTTTCTTTAGTTTGCTTACGTCTTATTTCAATCTTTCTTTCTTTGCACGTTTACCTTACTTTTCTTTCTTTCTTTTTTGTTTACCTTTTCTTTCTTTCTTTCGTTCTTTCTTTCTTTCTTTCTTTCTTTCTTTCCACCCCATTCGTTTTTCCCCAGTCTTATTTCCTATTATTTTTCCCAAACTTTTATTGTTTTCCCCCATTCTCTTTTTTTTTAATCTATGCCAATAATTCTTCCTCTCACACACCCCGTAAGCCGAGAGTTCTCTCTCAAGGCACGTCTGTCTTATACATCTTTAGGCATACTTCCTTCATCCACTTTCTCTCTCGAGGCACATTTCTCACGCGATCTTTCTTTCCCATGGCATATTTTTCACTCACACTTTCACTCCCTATACAAGTCCGTCACACACACACACACACACACGCACGCATACACACAATCTCTCTCTTTTTAAACTATGTCAAGAGTTTTATCTCTAGGCTTGTCTTCCACATGTACATACTGTCTTAAGACTGGTTTATCCCAATACTTTTACTCTCTAGGCGTTTTATACAAACACTCACTTTCTATGCGATTTTTTCTCTCTCTCTCTCTCACACACACACACACACACACATATTATCAACTTCAATCTCATATACAATATATCTATATACAATATATGTATATACAATCTCGAGGATTTTCTTTCTGGGCATCTTTCTCACAACACATACTGTTTTTGTTTTTTGGGGGTTTTTTTTTCGCATTTTCATTTTAGTCTTTCTCTCAAAATAAAAATTCTCTTATTTTTTCTGTTTCCTTTTTCTTGTCTTACTTTTGACTTTTGCTTCTCTTTACTAATTTATTAATTTCTTTCCTGCTTCTCTCACTTGCTGAGAATTTTCTCCACCGCCATCTTTTAATACAATTTTTCTTTCTTACCTCACCGCCATTGTTTCATCTTGTCACTTCTCATTCATATTCTGTGATTTTTCTCTTTCTTCTCAATATATCTTCATCTCTTACTTTTGTTCTTGTCTCTCCCCTACCCCATTTGTTTTTTTGTTTTTGTTTTTTTTATCATTCCCTGTTTCTCTCCGTTACTGAGAATTCTTCTACCACCATCTTTTTCCACCATTTTTCTACCACCTTTTTCTTTCTTTCTACTTTAACTTTTTCAGTCTTTCTTTCTTACTTATTTCTTTTTTCTTTCTAGCTTTTGCTTAACTTTTCTTTCTTTCTTTCTTTCTTTCTTTCCAGTCTTTGCTTACCGTTTCCTCCTTTCTTTCCAGCATTTACTTCTCTTTTCTTTCTTTCCAGCGTTTGCTTACTCTTTCTTTCTTTCTTTCTTTCTTTTTTTTTTCTTTCTTTCTAGCGTTTGCTTACCTTTTCTTTCTTTCTAGCGTTTGCTTACCTTTTCTTTCTTTTTAGCGTTTGCCTACCTTTTCTTTCTTTCTTTCTTTCAGCATTTGCTTAACTTTTATTTCTTTCTTTATTTTAATTTTCTAACCATTTCTTTCTTTCTTTCTTTCTTTTCAGTTTGCTTAACTTTTTATTCCTTTCTTTCATTGTCTCTTTATTTCTAATTTGCTTTTCTATTTTTTTTATTTATAGTTTGCTTACGTTTTCGTTCTTTCTTTCCATCATATGCTTACTTTTTCTTTCTTTCTTTCTTTCTTTCTTTCTTTCTTTCTTTCTTTCTTTTTTTCTTTCTTTCTTTCTTTCTTTTCCCACTTCCATCGTTTCTCCCTGTCACTTGTCATTCACCTTCTGTGATATTCAGTTTCTTCTCAACATATCGTCATCTCTTTCTGTTGTTGTTCTCTCTCCCTCTCTATGTGTGCGCAATGTTTTTCTCTTTATTTTCTCTGTGAATTTTTTGTCCGTCTCAATCCAATGATTTCTCGTTTGGTTGGGATTTCTTTTTTAGTCTCTCTTTCTTTATTGCCCTTCTCCTCCTTCCGCATTCATATATGCGTCTGTTTGTGCGAGAGAGAATTATCTACCTTTATCGTGGTCTCTCCCAATCAGTGTTTCTCGTTGCCTGTTTCTTTCTGTTGCCGCTAATCAAACTAGACAAAAAGGCTGAAAAGTTTATATACCACTTGATTCTCCATTCACAACAACGACGGCAGCAACACAATTTCGCTTTTCAGTCGAGTGCGCATGCGCGCGGATCAAGCACTTAAAACGAAAATCAGCATCAAACGCCTGCTGAGCGTCCGCCTTTCCTTGTTTGGGGGCCATGTCTTCTTTTCACCAACTCATACATAACATGAAACCACCTTCTTCGTCTCTCACCTTCGCTCGTCCAATCCCACAAATACGGTAACAGTTCACTGCCTTTTATTCAGGCTTGACAATTACCGTAATGAACAACAATGATATTGCCTGTTGTTTTGTTGTGGTTAAACTTCGAGTGAACGTTTGCTACACGCAAGTAAAAAGAAGGCAAGGACATTCACTGCACACAACGCACTCACACATACGTCAATGTTTATAAATTGTATTATTTACGCATTCCTAAGTTTTGCACAAGGCAGTAAATTAACGAATTATTGCTTGTTTTTTTTGTTTGTTTTGTTTGTTTTTTTTTGTTGGTTTTTTTTTTTTTGGTATTTTTTACGATTTATCCACATTTTGATGGTTATCAAAAGCTGAAATATATTTTAGAACTTAAGAATAATTTTTTTTTTTTTTTTTTTTTTTTGTTTGGTTGGCGAGTGAACATTACATTAACATAGGTACCGTCACTTTTTCGGCATAAATTTTCGATACCTAAGATTTAAAAAATGTATTTTAAAAAATGAAAAAGCATTCTTGAAGATTTCATTTTAACTTTAATTCAAAGCTAAAGGATTAAAAATTTATTATTTCCATTAAGTAAAATATTCTGGTGTATTTCAGATAGAAATTATATAGATTGGAATGTCAAATTTAATTTCGATTTCTTAAATGCGGCCATTTTCTTAATTTTAAGAAATTTGTAAACAAAATAAATGTATCGATTTTAAAACTCTTCGGAGAAATATATATATATATATATATATATATTTCTGACACGTTATCTGAGTAAAATTAGAAAATCTAAAGTTAAATTAATCTGATTTGAAATAAATATTACTTATAGTATAAAAAAGTAACCATTTCTTATTGATCGGCTGTGTTTATCTGAAACGATGATTGACAGGCGATTGAGTGACGAAGAGATGACAGCTAGTATGGCTGACTAGAATTGACATAAAATTTACGAAATCGCATTTTCTTTTCTTTTCTTTCTAACTGCCTAGTAATTTTTACAAATGAACATATTTTCCGCAATTATCTAATAATTTATTGACTGAAACCTTTCGAAGATGCTTTATACAAAAATAAAAAATTAAAAAAATGCTATAAAATTTTCTTAAATGTTAATTATTAACATTTTATTCGAGAGAGACATTGATTTTTTTCAAATACAACTCCAACTATTTGAACTATTACTGTGGGGAACAGGATTCACACCTTTCCGAAGGATATTTACGCGTAAGTGAATGCAATGTACCTGACGGAAATTCGAAATCTGCTTTACGATTTCTCATTCCGAGCCGCTATCCATTAATCGAAAATTATCTTCTTAACATTTTCTATATAAAGTTATCTCCCCTTCATGTATATCGGAATTGTAAAAGATTCACACTCATCTGTCTGTCGGTCTATCTATCGATCTAACTATCTGGATCTGTTTATATCTATCTATCTATCTATCGAGATCTATCGGTTTATATCTATCAAGATCTGTCTGTTTATATCTATCTATCTAGATAAATCTGTTTGTTTGTATTTATCTAGATCTATCTGTTTATATATATTTATATCTGTCTAGCTGTCTCTGCCTGTTTATATCTAGTTATCTCTCTCGATCTACTTGTATCTATCTTATGGAATCTTCCACATTAACCTTCCACTCCTTTCGGAAAGATATATTCTTCCCTAAAAAAAAGCCTTAACCAATCACCACTTCGTTTCAGTAAATTCAATCTTCTATTGGTTAAGAAACACGAAAGTGTAGCAAAGTCGAAACAGATCCTTTTTCCCGCCGAGCTCTCTGGAGCCGATTTTTTAAACACCAAAGACTATTAAAAACAACCGCATAACTCAATTCAAGTCAGTCAGTCATCAAGTTTCGTGAGATGCTACCAAACTCCACGCGTGTCAATTCGCGGACTCAACATCACTTCAAAATTCTCAACAAACTCAACACAGCACTCAAGCGACCATTGTCCGCGTGGTAATACATTTTACAATTGACTTAAAAAGTGAACGTTTTCACTACACAAACAGTAATTGTACAATTCATCAATTTAGCCTATCAGTTAAAGGCAAACAACTCTTCACAACTTAAATTCTAACAAATAACACACGCATACACACTAGTATTTGAACGAACACATTTGAGATTTTCTTTTGTAGAAACCAAATTATTGTAATTTCTCTAACAAATGTAAACCATTAACTTTTATTGACCAAATTTCTGCATGAATATTCTTCATAACCTTTTCTCATTTGCAACAGTCTGTTATCCTTGCATCTATATCTATTGTATATATAAAAATCTCTTTATTGTTGGATCTCTAACCACTGTGTTTTTTAGTAATTTCTTGCAATGCAAATTGTCCTTATATTCTTTATTTGATCTACGTGTTGTGGGATAATGCATAATAAACACGCATAATCTTTGCCTACATAAATATTACCTTCTGATACATTTTCACTCAGCTACAACCCGCAGCAATCTATCTATCTATCTATCTATCTATCTATCTATCTATCTATCTATGCTTATATATATTTATCTATCTCTGTTTATATCTAGTTATACATACAAACGTGTATATATATATATATATATATATATATATATATAATAATAGGTTTATTTAATAGCAAGTAGTCATCCGAACTACTTTGGTTAAAATAAATTGACAAGGTTCGCCTAATTTTTTATTGTATCTTTTCCAATTTTCGAATAAGGTATTGGGCATAAGGATCGAAAATACATTCGATGGCCTCAGTTATTTTAAGAATCACACACACACACGCACACACATATATATATATATATATATATATATGTGTGTGTGTGTGTGTGTGTGTCCAAGCAAGTTTGACTCATAAGAACCGACATCAAGGTGTGTCTAATTTTTTATCGCCTTTTTCTAATTATCGAAATTGTGAATAAGCTCTCTGAAATTCCTGTTTGTGCTATTGTTTTGTTCAAATACTTTCGATCGTCTCAGTCATTTTCAAGAACCAATGTGGTGTCTGTGTGGTAGGCAGAAAATCGGAGAGAATCAAGACACTACAGTGGTTCTTGAAAATAACTGAGATCATCGAATGTACGTGAAAAAAAAACTATCGGCGTCTCTCGTTTTGTGCGCATGCGTAGACGTGACAACATCAACGAAGTTCAGTCCGATGAAATCGTAACGGATGAAATGCGTCACAAAAAACTTTTTTCCCCATTTGTCATACCATTTTTCTTAATACTTTTTGTTGATATATAAAATTGAACAAAATTATATATAGTTCTATCTATCTATCTATCTATCTATCTATTTATATATATATATATATATATATATATATGCTTGTATGTATATAGCGATTTTCAACGTGTTTTTATTTTAATCTACTATAATAAATAATATTGAGTTCTACTCTGTATTGAGACCTTTTTTTTAAATCAAATGCTACAGACAGTAGAATTATACTCCATTTGTTCATATCTCATCTCTCTCTCTCTCTCTCTCTATATATATATATATATATATATATATATATATATATATATATATATATATATATAGAAGATATATAAACAGAAATATTTACATATATAGATAGATAGATAGATAGAGATATAGATCTTTCTTGTAGAGTTGTTTCATTGTCCTTTGGCCGGATATAGTAAAAAGATTATTCCTTGTATGGAAATTAGTATCATTATGCTTGTAACTTCGGGTGATATTTGGCGGTGTTTGTTTTTTTGTTTTTTTTTGTTTTTTGTTTTGTTTTGTAATCCCAGCTGCATTAGAAAAAATATTACCGATGCCATATATATATATATATATATATATATATATGTATCAGGTGAGTCCCCAAGTAGTGTCTAGATATCAAGAAGTGATATTGTAATTATTTGTCTTGTAGATTAGTATGAATTTTTGTCGTTTATTCTTTTTGTTTTGAAAGTTCATTCTTCCTAAGTTGACCCCAAATAGTTAGATAAGCACGTCTTTTAATTAATTTCTACTTTCCTATACACTGTAATACAAATAATAGACAATCAATTGACAGTCGTAAAAAAAAACAGAAATCGAACTCTATATTTGACACCCTCTGCATATGTAGAATTAATATAAGTAAAAGGGGGTATCAGCAATAAACTGCTTATACTTCTCTTTTTTTTTATATGCACTCATCATTGGTGCAAATTTTTTTTTATGTAGCTTGCGTGTGTATGTTTACGCGCATGCGTCCGTCTGTGCGTATGTGTAGGGTGACATGATTATTTGTACTTTTCTTCGTTTTTTGGGGGTTTTTTTTTTGTTTCACTTTATACTCACTCCTTCGCTTTTTCCTCTTTTCCTTCAATCGTAGCCATCTTGTAAAAATTATCGTTATAAGAGAGTTCATCATTCATAAAATAGATAGTTACTTTTCAATCATCCTATGCAACATTGTAAGAGTCAGACTGTATCCAGCACCTGAAGATTGCAAGTCTGCATGAAACTCCGAGTCGTGCTATCGTTGGATATTACGTGTATTCACCAATATATATATATATATATATATATATATATATATATATATATATATATATATTCCAAATCAGTATTTTAATGACCAAATATCAAAAGGGAGTTTGTTCACCTCCCCATGATATATATTTGATCTAAAAGAACTGATCCGACGTGCAAATTTTCGGGATAACGAGTGAGACATTACTTATTGAACAATTTAGTTCATGCCACATTGACTGATAAACTCCGACAACAAAAAATTCTCAAATTGCTATATTGTTAAAAAAACACACTCACTTAAATTTAAAAAAAAAATATTCAACCTTAGTGTTGTGACTGCGCGCTCCAAAAGTTTGTATCCGTTATCAATAACACATTTCAAAAAAAAAATAAAAACATATTTCAATTCGCATTATATTTTTTCGTCTCGGATGCTACCGGAATTTTACCAAAAACAAAATAATTTCCATGCCTGAAGATGACTGAATGTACAGGGGAAAGTACTTGCGTATTTAAGAAAGACCTTATGCAACATATAGTTAAAAAAAAAAGAAAAAAAAAACAATGATCATAACATTCATCGAGTGATTAGTAGGTTAATACATCTTTAAAATTTTGCTAGCGAAGGGATTTCGCCATTTTATATCATTAACTTTACTAGTTTACTTTTTGTATGAACGATTCATTGTAATATATATATATATATATATATATATATATATATATCAAAATATATTTTACAAAAATTTTTACAAATTTTGGGCAGGTTCCTCACACTAAACCAAGGACAAAAGTCCATATAAATATGAAGTAATAAAAATATATATTATTCTGCTTTCACAACTGAATACATGGTAGATTATACTTAGCTTTTTTGTGCATGTGTTTATGGGAACATAATTACTAGATTATTATGTATTAATGTGTTTAAAATAGGATACAGAATCCCGACAGTTTTTAAGAAATTTGACAAATAGAAAACGTTTCATAGAAACTAGATTTAATCCCTCGTTTCGCCTTTGTAAAAAAACAAAAAAAATGAAATATATATATATATATATATATATATATATATATATATATATATATATATATGTATGCGTGTATGCTTAAATATAACCATATAGATATAATCATAGTATTTTTCCCTAAGCTGACGTTTCTCGTGATTAAAGAAGAAAAAAAAGCAATGATTAAAAAAAAAACCGTTAATATTTATCCTGTATCTTTTCTTTATAATTCTTTCTTTATGTCGAAAGTTGTTAATATATTCATTAATCTGTCTATATTTCTGAGATGAGGTATTATGTACATTATTTACATTATTCGGACTATTATCCTCATCTTTGTTGCCATATTTATTACAACGTTTCGACCGTTGTACGCTCCGGCGTTCTTCAGGTGGTTGGAATGTCGAACTGAACCCTTTATTTCGCTCACTGGGGTAGACTGTTCTAGTTCCACGTGCCATGTTTAATGGATGTCACTTATCAGTTATCTCCTGTTAATTTCCCTCTGAAATTTCTCCACTGCCTTAACTGGGTATTGAACTCACATTCTTTGGGTCCTGTTACTGGATCTAACGAACGCCTTTATCCACTGTGCCATGTGTCCTTGAGTAAATAATATCCATAAATGATTCATTATTTAAGCATACACACAAATACACATACACATTTTTCTTTCTTTCATTTTTGGATCTTATGAAGCCTAGAGAGGCGAAACGCGTAATCAAATCGCTTTCTATTTGTCAAATTTCTCATAAAGGATTAATGTCATGAAAGAGTTGTTTCATGTTGATTGATTTTCTTTGGTGGAATATCAAACTCTAGGGGTTATTTAATGTTGAATTCTAAGCATTTTGAACACAATTTTATGACGTCAACTAAATCTATTTTGAATGTAGTTGTATGTCTTCAACTACAGATAAAATGTGTCGTTGGTCATCTTGCTATAAAATGTATTGTTGGTCATCTTGCTATAAAATGTATTGCTGGTAATTTTGGCTTTAAATATGTTTCTTTCTTTGTGTCTTCTTTGGGGGTTCGTTACTTGTCCATAGTTGGGACCCCTAACAGGTGCTAGCACCCCCGTTCAGGGTGGATCCAAGAACGACAGCAATTAAGACGTGGTTCCACGCATCTCAAAACTTCCAATCTCCCGGTCAGAAGATTTACTGCCGGATGGAGTTTATCGTCATACCCAGGACTGGACAAGTTTGAAATGCTGGATTCCATAACTGAATATATATATCATCAGTACCGCTAGAAATGGGTAGAAGGTGCTCATTAATAAAATCAGGCGGAAGTGCCAAATAATTTAAACATCAGTATAGTTGATGAAATTGCCTCACCTAAATTCTACGAGGGACAGACCGAAAGCCATGCCTCCCATATGTTTCAACGGAAACTACAACAGATACAGAGTACTCAATAACACAGTTGGATAGAGCAAGCTTTTAGTTACA